GAGAGAGAGAGAGAGAGAGAGAGAGAGAGAAAAAAAAGATGAGAGGAGAGAGAGAGAGAGAGAGAGAGAGAGAGAACATAGGCGACAGGGAGCAATACTGACGCGATCGAAGACGTTTCGGCTTCGCTTGAGAACCCTGTTCGGAACAACGTTTTTTCATCGATTTCGGGTTTTGACACTTTTCGTTGATAACAGAACAAGCTCAATGCGAGATGCATCATTATATACTTCCCAGGGTTTCGCGACCATGCTCTAAAATGCTGGAAAGTGTGAGTTTTGAATTATCATGTTGAAACTTACAAGTTGGTGTCCACGCTGCGGAAAGATATTGTTAACTTTGGAGCGCTTCTTGGGGAACAGGGTCGCCTTGTCTAGCGAAACGTCGATGTCTAATTCCGCGTCGAAGAGCGCGATATCCTTCGCCTCGAATTCCTCGATGGCCTGCCAGGGGGAATCACCGTGGCCGACGAGCAGCTGGGCGCCAAGGAGCGCGTCGATGTCGTTCGTGTGGGATTGCGGCAGCAGCGGATTTCCATGGACTTGCCGCCGAACCAGGCGCCCGAAACCCCCGCGTGGGTGACACGGGTGCCGCGCGGCTTCCCCGCGTCAGCCTGCGCGACCGCATGGAAGGAGAACTCGGTCGGCCTCTCAGCGGAGCAGCGTGGACGTGCTTTCGTGATTGATGTCGAAGCGCTCTCCTTGAAGGTTGACCCATTGCGGTTCGCCCTTAGCCCCGACAATCGGGGCTGGAGTCGAAAACGGGGTGCGGGCCAGCGTTGGAACGCGCGCCAGCGCCGTTGGGGCGCAGAGCGCGCACCCCAGTTGACTCGCAGCAATCAGCGCCACATGCGCAACAACAATCACACAGCAAAAAAGACAAAGGAGCCGCTGACCTGAGCCCAGTCAGTAGAAGCGCAAGTCTGCTGAGCTGTCGCGTCACAGTGACAATCTCCTGGGATAGGGTCGTTCACATCGAGTTCGTATCCCCAGGTAATCTGTACGATCCCAAACACGACTGATGCGTGCGTGACAATAGTAGACGGGTCACTCGATAATTGTCCAAAGATGGTGGTACTGTCGCCCAGAGAGAACTCAGTGCACGTTTGATAGGGGACTTGCGCAGGAAGAGAGCCATTTGCGGGTGGGTCTGCCCTTGGAGGATAAGGATCCCAACGCTCGTCTTCGGCGGGGTCCCGGCAGGGCGCGACGGGGGCCAGGGAGGGCGTGCACACTGTGGGGCGGCGCCTGCAATTTTCGCCCATGCAGTCTTCGCGCTCACAAAACTTCGCGGTCTATTTGCCCCGTGTGCGCTCGTCGCGCGACTCTGGAACCTCCTGCGGACAGATTGGTTGATTGACCTCGTCAGCCCGAATAAACTCGGCCAGGTCGATGCAACTGTCACTTTTCACGCCCCAGTTCTATGGCCCACAATCTGCGGGTACCGCGAAACAGTATCCCAAGATGGGAGCTTGCAGGTCACGCTCGCTAAGGGTGAGGCAAGCATTCTTTATTGAGGTCGCACGCGACACGAGCAAGGGATACCCAGACCGTCATGCACTTTTTTCACCGCCCAGTGAAGCCCTGTGGCATAAAATCGGGAGGGCGGGGGGGGAGGTCCCATGCGCGCGGCAAGCCGCCCGGCTACGTGCAATAAATTAACCCGGCGTCCCCCGCCGGGCCTCCCTGCGAGCCTGGGCGGCGGCCCGCCGCGCCGCCTCCGCGCCGCCCGCGCGCGCAGCTGGCAGCGGGAGCCGGCCCGCTGCCCGCGGCGGCAGCGCCGGCGCCCGCCTGGCGCAGGGGCGGCCGGCCAGCTTCTCCTAGGCAGGGGCCTAGCAGCCGCAGCGCACGCAGGCCCACCCTGGCCCTTGCGAGGCGGCGTGCGCCCGCCTGCAGGCGCCGCCGGCGAAGAGCGCCCGGGCCGCAGCGGCGGTGTTCGGGCGGGGCGCTGGCGGCAGCGCGCGCCTGGCCGCGGCCGCCGCTGCTGCCGCGTCGCCGCCCGCGCGGGGCTCGCGGCGTCGCGGCCCTGGCGGGGCCCAGCGGCGCCGCCCGCGCGGCGGCGCTTGCCCGGCGCTGCCATGGTTGGCCCGCAGCGCCGCCAACTAAACCACCTGCAGCGTCCGAAGGGCGCGGCGGCGGCAGCCAGGCTGACGCCGCCGCCCCGGCCAGTCGGTCCGCGGCGGCATTGCCCAGCCGGTCCTCTGCGGAACCGCGCCGCCAGGAGCCCGCAGCGGCAGTGGGGCGCGATGATCTCCCACAAGTCAGAGTGCGACCACTCCCGTGGGGAGGCGCCCTGCCGGAGCGCGGCGACACCTTTCCGGGCGTACTGCGAATCAGTGGCGGCTTCGAGCGGTTGCTGGGCGACGTGGAGCGCCTACGCCGCCGCCGTGAGCTCGGCGCTTTGCGCAGCTTGCGCTCCGTCGACCCAGCCGCTGTGGTCAGTCTGCGCCCCGGCGGGATCCTCCAGGCGGAAGCCGCACCCTGAGCGGGCCAAGAGCGGGCCCCGGGGGCGCACGCACGCACCGTGGGCCCAGGCCCGGAGCGCGAGCGCAGGGGCGCCGCGCCCGCGCTTGCGGCAGCAGCGAGCGCGGACAGGCAGGCGTCCACAAAAGCACGCCGCGACACCGGGCGGCAGGCGGGGTCGCAAGACAGCGGCCGAGGAAACCCCCGGCCACGAACGCCCGGCGCCTCGGCTCGGCCCGACGCGGGCAATCCCAGAAGAAGCGGTGTTGCCGGTCTTCGCACGCGGCTCCGTAGTGCGGACACCACTCTGGATTCCCCCATGTCGCGGCCACCGATTCCGTGACCACGTTGCCGGCCAGCACAGCGCGCAGCGCGCCAGCGGCGTCCGGGAACAGGGCGCCCTCCTCCAACAGCCGCTGGGTGGCCCACCTGTCAACGCCAGCCTGCAGGTGAGCGAAGTCGGCACGGCGGGCCGCCAGAACGGCGCGGGTGTCCTGCAACAGGCGCTCCTCTGGGCGCCAGCCTGCTGGCGCGGCGGGAACCCCTCTCCAGACCTCGACGTCGCGCCGCCCCCGAACTGGAACTCCGCCATGCTGCGGGCCGCGGCAGCTATCGGGCCGGCTCCGCGGCCGTGTCCGGCAGCCATTGCTCAGGCCGCCGCGCGCCACAACGCAGCGGGGAAGCGCTGGCGGCGGAGCGCCTTCGCCGCCTGCCACAGCGGCGCGAGGACAGCCACTGCGAGGGGGTCCAGCCGCCATCCCGGCGCCAGCGTGCCGACGACGATCTCCGCTGCTGCGCCGAAGCCGCCCCTGCACACCGCCCGCCGCGCGGCGAGCTCGCGAGCGGGGGGCCGCCTGCAGGAGGCCCGGCCGCTGTGCCTGCGGCGGCGCCCAGGAGGCAGCGTTGGCCGAAGTGCAGGGGCGGCATCCCAACGCGCGCGAAGCGACCGAGTACCCCCTGCGCCCGGCTGGCGGTGACTCCGCCGCGGCGGCTGCCCCCGGCTACCGCCGCCACCCCGAGGTCGGAAACCGGGCTGGACGTGTATCGGCTCGGGTGCTCTGGCGGCGGCTCCAGCGTCGGGGGCCCTGTCGGCGGAGGAGATGGCTGTGGTCGCCCGTTGTCAAGACGGTGCTCCGTGATCGACGCTGGCGCTGGCGGCGCTGCAGCCTTCGCCATCTCCTCTGCAGCTCTGGCCTGTGCTGGCGGCGCTGCAGCCTTCGCCACCCCCTCTGCAGCTCTGGCCTCCTCGGCAGCTTTCGCAGCCTGTTCCACGAGACTGGCCTCTGAAGCAGCCTTGGCGGTCTCGTCTGCAGCCGTGGTCTCTGCGGCAGCACTCGTCGCCTCTTCTGCAGCCCTGGCCTCCGCAGCAGTCTCCCCAGCAGTACTGGCCTTCGCGGGAGCCCTCGCCGTCTCCTCGAGCGGCCTGGGCCGCTGCTGCAGCCTTTGCCGCTGCGGCCTTCCTCGCCGCCTTCATGGCCGCCTCGGCTTGCGCGGCAGCCTTCGCCGCCTCCTGCTCTGCAGCCATGGCCTTCGCGGCAGCCTTCTCAGCAGCCACGGCCTCCGCGAAAGTCTGCGCCTCCTCCGCGGTCCTGACATCCGCTGCGCCGTTCCTCGCCGCCTCCTGTGCACCTTTGGCCTCCTCGGCAGCTGTCGCAGCCTGCTCCTCAGCATTTGCCTCTGAACCAACATCGACGGCCTCGTCTGCACCGTTGGTCTCCGCGGCAGCCTTGGCCGCCTTCTCTGCCGTCTTGGCCCCCGCAGCAGCCGCAACCCTCTCGGTGGCCTTGGCCTCCGTCAGAGCCTTCGCCACCTGCTCTGCGACCGTGGCCTCCGCCGCAGCGCTTGCCGCTACTGCATGCCTCGCCGCAGCGTCGACCGCCCTGGCCGCCGCAGCAACCTTCGCCGCCTCCTCCGCATGGTGCTGGTGCTGAAGTGCGTTGGCGCTGGCCTCCGTGATCTTGCGCAGCACGTCGGAGCCCTGCCCAAAAATGACCTCGGATCCGTCCTGTCCCCGTGCTCCACGATCTTGATGGCGGCAACCGCTCCTAGCAGTACGGCTACGACCAGAGCGTGGAGAGGAACCATCATACCAGGCATGCCGTCTCGGCAACAATTGTATTCGCCCATTGGAGCGGGTACGTGGTGTGCGTGTGTGAATCTGCGAACGATTCCCGACGAATGAGCCGAAATCTTGAGCCAAAATGGCCAGGGACAAAACCCGAACGATTCCTCGAGCTCCGAGTTCATGTGCCAGCTCTATCCTGGGCGCGCCGCAGACAACAATGCAACAGCATGTGCCACCCGTGGCGACGAGAACCGCAGCAGGCCCAAGAAGAAGCTCAGAACGTCAATTACCTGCATCACCTTCATCTCGCCATCGCTCGGACGTCCATTGCCTGTGCTTTTTTCGGCTTCGTGCGTGGATTTTTTCGCCAAATGATCAAGGATGCTCCTCGATGGTCCTCGCCGAAGGAAAACTGCACACGTCCGAGCGATGCCAAGTCATCTGCGTCCTCAGATTCGCCCTCCTCCTGAATATTTTCGCTCGCGGCAGCGCGCCTGCGGGCTCCCTCGCCGTCGGCGCGGCCGCCCTCCCGCCCGCGGCGGCCTCTCAGTCCTCCGCCGCCAGCATGCGGGCCTGCGCGGCCTGGATCTTCGCCGCCACCTGCCCACCCGCGCAATGCGAGGAACGCAAAAGAAGCATTCGAATTACACAAGTAGGGCGCACCCGATCCATCCATGCCACGCATGGCAACCGGATCGGGCCAAATCCGATCCAGAGATCGCGGTGCGGAGAGGAGCGCGGTCCTGCGTGGGAGGGGGAAGCTGGTGGCGCAGAGGGCTCCGCGGGACCAGCGCGAGGCAGGGCCGATTCAGTGGAAGGGGCCGGGGAAGAAAACGGAACCGACGGCAACAAAAACGAAGACTGAGCACCAGAAAAAGAGCGGGGAACAATCGGAGCGACGACGGGGGCGAAGAGAGGAGGGGGGGACAATAGGAGGGACGACGGAGGCGAAGAGGCGGCAGCTGCGGAGCCGGCAGCGCCCAGGCAAGGGACATCTAGATTTTGTTCTGCGCAAGGCTTCACGTCACTGGACCTCCTGAGAGCCCACGAGCGTGCCGGCGTTGTGCATGTGGCACTGCCCAGGAAGGCGAGATCTAGTCTGTCAGCGCAGGGCGTCGCTCCGTTGGCCCTTACAGGAGCTCACGAAGCGTTGCGCACTTGGCACCGCCCCAGGAAGAGGGGAGCAGGCAAGAAGCGGAGAGGAGGCGAAGAGGGATCGAGGATGCGGCGAGACAGAGCGGAGGCGGGAGGCCTCAGCGAGGGGGTGCGAGGAGGAGGGGAGGGCCCTCCTGCTCCTCCTTCTCCTCCTCCTCCTCCTCCTCCTCCTCCGCATCATCATCCTTTTTGACGTTGTGCTAACTCAAGGACAGGCAGATGAGAGGATGGGAGAAACAGTTCTCAACTGAAAACGTGTACACATCGGTCGGAAGACGTAGGTAACAACACGAAGTAGGACGGCCTTGAAGGTAGAATGGCCGCCACCTGAAGTGGAGGAAAGAGGTAAAACCACTCCGCTCTTGAAGTGCGAAGGCGCCTGAGGTAGATTTGGATCTGGGAATCCAGGAATACCTGCTTCCAGCGACTGACGTGTACCCAACGAAAGGAAGGTGGGTAGACAAATGCTCAAAACAAGTACCCAACGAAAGGCAGGTTGGGAAACTCCCTCAAATCGGGGAATCGAAACAAAAAAACGCGACGGACTTTAGTTCCACGTGTTCGATCTCAAGATCTCCAGGAACTGTGTTCTTTTCTGCGCGCAAGGACCGTCAAAACGACGCAGGACGAAACGCTAACACCTTGGAAGAGATCGCGATCGCCGTGGGGGCACGTGTCAAAAAATGCAAAGTCGGAGATAGAGGAGGATCAAAACTGCGTCAGCATAAACTTTCGGAACTCCGCGCGGACTTCTCGGATCCGGCGCCGCCCCTGGCGGGCTCCGCGCGCCAGGGAGGGGGCTCCAGCGCAGATCCCAGGACTCCACGCAGATCGCTGAAAGCGTATGTTTATGCAATTGCTTCTTCTTTCGTCCGTGGGGGCACGTCCAGAAACGATGCAATGTCGGAGGAGAAGGTTGGAGGCAGGTTGCGGGCTCCGGAGCCTTCTCGCGGCGCTGCTTCAGTGACAGCTTCACGCTGCGGACGTGCTCGGTGCCGTCCGAGCTGGTGACCTTGTTGCCCTTGTGCGTGTGGCTGACGTCCTTCTTCTCCTTCTCCTCGCGGTCGGGGTCCTCCTTGATCTTGTCGTGGGCCTCGCTGTACATGTCCTCGAGCTTGTCCGCGTCGATGTCCGCCTCTCTCGAGGACCAGAGAGGCACACTGACCATGGGCCGTCGCACGTCTTGGGCGTGGCTTCAGGGGGGGGTCACAAAATGGGGGGGTCAGAAAAGGTCCCCTTTCGTGCCCCTTTCGGGCCCCTCCGGAGCCCCAGGGGGGCTCGTTGAGGTACCGTTTGGGTACCTTTTCGGACCACCCGCGACACCCCCCCATTTATGACGCCCCCATTACGCGGCGCCCAAACGTCCTGGGGCGAGCCCTCCGCCGGCGGCGGACCCCCCTTCCGCGCCCCCCCCCCCCCCGCATCCAGCGGAGCCCCTCGCGGGCGGCGGGCGGCGGGCCCTGCCGTTGGCGGAGGGGCCGCCCGAGGACGTCCGACCGATGCTCGATGGAATCCTCCGAACTCCGGGATCCTCTGCGTCCTCCTCTTTCTCCTCGTTACTCTTCCTGCTCCGCCTCCTCCTCCTCCTCATTATGTTTCTCCTCCTACTCCTGCTTCTCCTCCTCCTCCTGCTCCTCCTCCTCCCCCTCCTCCTGCCGCTCCTTCTTCCTCCTCCTCCTGCTGCTCCTCGTCATGCTCCTCCTGCTGCTCCTCGTCCTGCTGCTCCTGGTCCTGGTCCTGGTCCTGGTCCTGGTCCTCCTCCTCCTCCTCTACGCATTCCCTACCATCCCCGCCCTTCCTTCCCGGCGTCCCTTCGTTCCCAGGCACTGCTCCGCGCTCTCAGCCGTGGTGGCGAGCCGCCGCGAGGAGGCATCCTGCGCTGGATTTCCCTCCCTGGCGCGCGGGGCGCGCCAGGGGCCGCGCCAGAGGCGCCGCAAGGGGGGGCCCAACGGGGATCCAAGAAATCCGCGCGGAGCTCCGAAAGTTTATGTGCTTATGCTGGTTTCGGGTCTTCGATATCCGAGCCTCGATGTACTTGGCGAAGTGGGCCTCGTACTTTGTCGGGTCCTCCTCCGCCAGCATCTCCATGTACTCCTTGACCTTGGAGCGCTCCGTCCCGAAGATTGAGCCGACTACGGCACGGTTCCCATCCCGAATAAAGCCGGAAGAGTGCCGTACATGGCACCAGAGGAGAAGGAGGAGGAGTGAAAAGGAAGAAGCGGTGGATTGGGGGAATTCCAGAGCACCCTCCACCTCATGAACAAATCCCCTTCCTCCTGACCCTTTACTGAACTGAACTGTACTGATCCGTGGGCGTCCAGGAGCCCGACGTGGCGAACGACAAACGACAAAGCGATTACGCCTGTCGTGACGGGTCACGACGGGCGGATGTCGGGGTCCATTCAGAAATCATCCGATAAAAGAATACGCAGCATGCCCTTCTGGGCGCCATCCCGACCCGTTCTCCGAGCCGCGTCCAGCCTTGGCGACGAGAGCCTCCCCGAAACCTACAGAAGTCCCCACAGACGGCGGAAAACCTCCTAAAGCAATTGAGACCTTACAAAGATCGCTGTGCATTTCCGAACGCTTCCGCTGAGTCCCCAACGTGGATGAATCCCACCAGCCCTGTGAGCGTAGGTGCTCTAGAGAACTTTCTCTTCCAACCCCCTTCTCTACCTTCGGGGAAGGGTTTACCCATCCCCCGTTCCCCCCTCCCCTGGACTTGAACGGGGGGTCCGCGAGGGGTTGGGGCGTCCAAGATGGCCCAAGACGGCTCCAAGAGCGCTTCAGAGAGCCCAAGGAGACCTCTGAGATGGCCCAAGATAGCGCAAGATGCCTCAATCTGGAGATGGCTCCCAAGATGCCCCACGAGGCCCCAAGAACGCTTCTAGACGGTTCCAAGTGGCCACGGGGCCTCCCGAGGCCGCCAAGATGCCACCATCCTTCCAACAGCACGAGCAAATCAATGAAGTTTGCCGTGTCGCCTGTTTGCTCTCGAAGGCCTTTCCGAGGCCTCAAGTTCCAAGAGGGCCCCAGAGAGCTCAAAGAGAGGCCCCAGGGAGCCCCAAAGCGGCCCCCAAAGCGGCCCCAAGAGCGCCCCAACAGCGCTTCAAGAGGGGTCCAAGAGGCGAGGATCGGCATTCTCGAGGGGCGGTGCTAACTGAGACCCTCCCCGTCTTTGACCGATGTCGTCCCAGATGGTTCCAAGAGCGCCCCCAAGGCTCCCAAGACCGCCCCAAAAGGGCCCCAACAGGCGCCAAGGAGGCCGATGGTATTTCGATGCATACTCGCTCTGGCGGGGCCTCCCTGAAGGGTGGGAGGGGTGCGAAACCTTGGGAACTGTTATACGGATACCCTCCTCGCTCTGGGTGTAGGTGGCAGGGGAACTGGTGAATAGTAGTGTATTCCAGTATCCACCTCGCTCTGGCGGGGCCTTCCTGGAAGGGTGGGAGCGGGCCCAAAGTAGTAGTAGCAGTAATAATTGTAGTAGCAATACTAGTGGTAGTAGTAGTAGTAGTAGTAGGAGTAGGAGTAGTAGTAGTAGTAGTAGTAGTAGTAGTAGTAGTAGTAGTAGTAGTAGTAGCAGTACTATTAGTAGTAGTAGTAGTAGTAGTAGTAGTAGTAGTAGTAGTGGTAGTAATAGTAGTAGTAGTAGTAGTAGTAGTAGTCGTAGTAGTCGTAGTAGTAGTAGTAGTAGTAGTAGTAGTAGTAGTCGTAGTAGTAGTAGTAGTAGTAGTAGTAGTAGTAGTAGTCGTAGTAGTCGTACTACTAGTAGTAGTAGTAGTAGTAGTAGTAGTAGTAGTAGTAGTAGTAGTAGTAGTAGTAGTAGTAGTAGTAGTAGTAGTAGTAGTAGTAGTAGTAGTAGTAGTAGTAGTAGTAGTCGTAGTAGTAGTAGTAGTAGTAGTAGTCGCAGTATCAGTAGTGGTAGCAGTGGCCGTAGTGATAGTAGTAGTAGTAGTAGTGGTGGTGGTAGTAGTAGTAGTAGTAGTAATAGTCATAGTAGTAATAGTAGTAGTAGTAGTAGTAGTAGTCGTCGTAGTAGTAGTAGTAGCAGTAGCAATCGCAGTGGTAGTAGTAGTAGTACTAGTAGTAGTAGTAGTAGTAGTGGTAGTAGTAGTAGTAGTAGTAGTGGTAGTAGTGGTAATAGTGGTAGTAGTAGTAGTAGTAGTAGTAGTAGTAGTAGTAGTAGAAGTAAATATAGTAATGATAGTAATAGTTGTAGTGGTCGTAGTACCCATGTTCGTAGTAGTAGCCGTAGTAGTAGTAGTCGTAATGATAACAGAACTAGCACCAGTAATATTAGAAATAGCGCTAATAGTAGTAGTCGTACTAGTAGTAGTGTTAATCGTAGTAGTAGTAGTAGTAGTAGTAGTACTGCAACTAGGAATGGTAGTAGTAATATCCCAGATAGTAGTAGTAATAATAGCCGTCGTAATCGTAGCTGGAGTGTTTGTAGCACTCGTAATAATGTTAGTAATGGCCGAAATCGTTATACTAATTCTCGTAGTAATGGTAGTAACGGCAATAGTAACGGAAACACGGACAGTAGCCGTAGTAGTAGCAGTAGTAATGATTGTGGTGGTCGTAGTTGTAGTAGAAGTAATAGTCGTAGCAATCGCAGTAGTCGTAGTCGCAGAAGTGACCGTGGAATTCGTGATAGTAATAGTCGTAGTTGCTGTGCAAATGACAATAGTAGTCGTAGCAGTAGTAACACTAGTGGGATCAATAGTGAGAGTAGTAGTGGTAGCGATGATCATAGCAATCGTAGTAAGACTGCTCGCAGTCGCAGCCGTAGACGCAGTGGTAGTAGTGGTAGTAAGCGTAATAGCAATAGTACTAGTAGTAGTAGTCGTAGTAGCAGTAGTAGCAATAGTAGAACTAGTAGAAGTAGCAGTAGTAGTAGTAGAAGTAGTTTCAGTAGTCGTAGTACTCGTAGTCGTAGTCGTATTAGTAGTAGTAAAAGAAATAATAATCGTAACGATAGCACTCGTAGTAACAATAGTAGTAGTAGTAGTAGTAGTAGTAGTAGTAGTAGTAGTAGTACTACTCCGAGTAGCCGTAGTAGTAGCAGTGGGCGTAGTATCGGTGGTAGCAATGGTAGTAACAAGCGTAGTGGTAGTAGAAGTACGAGTAGGAGTTGTAGTCGTAGTAAGAAAGGAGAAAGTAGTAGTAATATTAATGGTGGTAGACACCGCGGCAGTGATAATACTCGTAGTCATTGTCGTAGTGGTAACAGCCGTAGTAGTCGAAATACAAATCGCAATGCGACTTTCAATGGTGGTTGCAGCAGTCTCAGTGCTGGCCGTAGCCGTCGTAGTAGTGGTCGTAGTAGTAGCAGTAATAGTAGTAGTAGTAGTAGTAGTAGTAGTAGTAGTAGTAGTAGTAGTAGTAGTAATAGTAGTAGTAGTGGTAGTAGTAGTAGTAGTCGTAGTAGTCGTAGTAGTCGTAGTAGCAATAGTAGTAGTAGTAGTAGTAGTAGTAGTAGTAGTAGTAATAGTAGTGGTAGTAGTAGTAGTAGTAGTAGTAGTAGTAGTAGTTGTAATAGTCGTAGTAATAATAGTAGTAGCAGTAGTAGCCGTAGTAGTAGTAGTAGTAGTAGTAGTAGTAGTATTATTAGTAGTAGTAGTAGTAGTAGTAGTAGTAGTAGTAGCAGTAGTAAAAGTAATAGTAACAGCAGTAGTAGTAGTAGTAGTAGTAGTAGTAGTAGTAATAGTAATACGCGTCGCAGTAGTAGGAAACAAAATTGTAGTAACTCTAAGAGCGGTTGTAGTAGTAGTAGTAGTCGTAGTAGTAGTAGTAGTAGTGATATTAGTAGCAATAGTTGGCACACTAGAAATAATCGGGGTACGGGTAGTCGTGGAAATAGCAATTTTGTATTAGTAGTAGTACCAGGAATAAAAGACGTAGTTGAACTCGTAGTCGTGGAAATCAAAATATAGTCGTCCTCGTCGTCGTCGCAGTGGTGGTAGCAAGTAAGAATAAAAGAAGAAGCTAGTGCCGTGGTAGCAAGCGTCGTAGTTGTAGCAAAAGTCCTAGTAGTAGTAGTAGTAGTAGTAGTAGTAGTAGTAGCAGTAGTAGTGGTAGTAGTAGTAGTAGTAGTAGTAGTAGTAGTAGTAGTAGCGGTAGTAGTAGTAATAGTAATAGTAGTAGTAGTAGCCGTAGTAGTAGTAGTGGTAGTAGTACTCGTCGTAGTAGTAGTCGTAGTAATAATAATAATAGTAGTAGTAGTAGTAGTTAGCAGTAGCAGCCGTAGTGGTAGCAATACGGATCGTACCATTAACCGTGGTTGTAGCAACAACGCCAGCAAAATGAATAATAGTGATAGTACTGAAGGCATTAGTCGTAGCAGGAAAAATGAAAGCAATAATCGTAACAGTAGCAGTAGTAGTCGTACGAGTCGCAGTAGTCATTGTACCCGTAGTAGTTGTCAATGTGGTAACAATAATAGTAGTAGCAGTAATCGCGGTAGTAGGAATAATGAAGTGGTCGTACAACAGCAGCGCGAACCGAAAGTCGTAGTAGTAGTAGTCGTCGTAGTCGTCGTAAAGATAATACTAGCATTAGAAATCGAACTCGTAATCATTGTAGTAATCTAGTGATGCTGATAGTAGTGGTCGTAGTAGTAGTAGTAGTAGTAGTAGCAGTAGCAGTAGTAGTAGTAGTAGTAGTAGTAGTAGTAGTAGTACAAGTAACCATAGCAGCCGTCACAGAAAAATGAATAAATATAAGAATGGTCGTCGTCCTAACAGTCGGAGTCGTAGCAGCTGTCGTAGTAGTAGTCGTCGTGGCAACACTCCTCATAGCACTAATAATAATCATACCGAGTAGTAGTTACAGAAAAAGTCGCAATAGTAGTAGTAGTAGTAGTAGTAGTGGTAGTAGTAGTCGTCGTAAAAATATTCGTAGTAGAAGTGGTAGAAGTAGTAGAATCAGTAGTAGTAGTAGTAGTAGTAGTAGTCGTCGTAGTAGTAGTAGTAGTAGTAGTAGTAGTAGTAGTAGTAGTAGTAGTGGTAGTAGTAGTCGTCGCAAAAATATTCGTAGTAGAAGTGGTAGAAGTAGTAGAATCAGTAGTAGTAGTAGTCGTCGTAGTAGTAGTAGTAGTAATAGTAGTAGTATTATTATTATTATTATTAGTAGTAGTAGTAGTAGTAGTAGTCGTCGTAGTAGTAGTAATAGTAGTAGTGGTAGTCGTAGTAGTAGGAGTAGTAGTAGTACAAAGGGGTAGTGATACTTATAATATTATGAATGCTAGGAGTGGTCGTCGTAGTAGTGATTTTAGTGAGCGGCTTAGTAGTAATGCTTGCAGTAGTCGTAGTAACACTAGTAGACGTAGCCGTCATGGCAGTAGCGACATCAGTAGCAATATGGGTAGCAGTGGTAATAGTAGTCGTCGTCGTATTATTATTATTAGTAGTAGTAGTAGTAGTAGTCGTGGTAGTCGTAGTAGTAGTAGTAGTAGTAGTAGTAGTAGTAGTAGTAGTAGTAGTAGTAGTAGTAGTGATAGTAGTGATAGTAGTAGCAGTAGTAGCAGTGATTATAGTAGTCGTAGAATCAGTAAGGGAAGGTTGGGAACAAAAAACAAAACATTAAACAAACACAAGGAATTCAACATTCTAGGTTGTCGCGTAGAGATATCAAAGCCGAAGCGAGGCAGAGAGCAACACTAGGAATTTTGAAAACAAAAACCGGACCCGCGACTCGGCATGAAACAAAACAAGGGACGCCCTGGACCAGCGGGGGGAAGATCCGGGGGAAGATAAGTCGGGAGATCTGGGGTGTCAAATGGAATATTTGGCGCGGTTGCGAAGCGATGAATATGTAGGAACATTTGGCGAACGATCTTGGGGAAGATCAGAGGGAACAGAACATGTGGCGGGAAGTCTGGAGGAAGATCTGGAGGGACATATGAGGGAAGATCTGGTAGAAGATCTGGGCGAAAATCTGGGGGACGTGCTGAAGAAGATTTGGCGGTGTCGTGCGTCGTAAATCTGCAGCAAGATTTGCGGAAAAATCTCGGGAAGATCTGGGGAAAGATCTGAGGGAGGAGATCAGGGGAAACATCTGGGGGAAGATCTGGGGGAAAATCTGGAGGACGATCTGGAGAGAGATCTGGGGGAACATCTGAATCAATATCCGGGTGAATATATTGGGGAAACATAGAAACAACTCTGCGGGACAACATCGGGAAAGATCAAAAGAAAAATCTGGGTGACGATTTGGAAGAAGATCTGGGGGAAGGTCTGGCGGAAGATCTTGGGAAACATTCGGGGAGAGATTTGGGGAAAGATCTGGGAGGAAAATCTGGTGTATGATCTGGGGAAAGATGCAGGGAAAGATCTGGGGGAAGATCAGGGGGGAGATGTGGGGGAAGATCCGCGGGAAGATCTGGGGGAAAAGCTGGAGGAAAATCTGAAGGGAGATCTGGGGGAAGATCAGGGGGGAGCTCAGGGAAAAGATCTGGGGGAAGATCTGGGGGAAGATCTGGAGGAAGATCTGGGGGGGGATCTGGGGGAAGATCTGGGGGGAACATCTGGAGGGAGATCTGGCGTAAGATTTGGGGAAAGATTTAGGGAAAGATCTGGGGGAAGATCTGGGGGGAGATCTGGGGGAAGATCTGGGGGAAGATCTGGGGAAAGATCAGGGGGAAGATTCGGGGAAAGATCAGGAAGAAAATCTGGGGGAAATCTGGGGGAAGATCTTGGGGAAGATCTGGGGGAAGATCTGATGGGAAATGCTGGGGAAGAGTCTGGGGGGAGATCTGGGGGGAAGATCTGCCGGAACATCTGGGGAACATCTGGACAAGGACGCGCAGGGAAGATCTGGAACAAGATCCGAGGAGCGATCCGGGGAAAAACGTGTAGACGATTTGGCGGAATATCTGAAGGATGACCTGACAGGGGAAGATCTGGGGGAGGATCAGGCGTGAAATCTGCTCGGTTATCTGGAAGAAGATCTGGTGGGAGATCTGGTGGGGAGATCTGGGGGAAAGATCTGGGGGAAGGTCTGGGGGAAGATCTGGAAAAAGATCTGGGGAAAGATCTGGGAGGAGATCTGGCAATCTAGGAAGGGATTTGGGCGAAGATCTCGGTGAAAATCCGGGTGGGTATTTTTGGGGGCAAAGGAGGAGAAGATCTGAAAAACGATCCGGAGGAAGACCCCAAGATCTGCGTGACGATCTGGGAGGAGATTGGGTGAAAATCTGCGGGGAGATCAAGGGAAACATCTGGGGGAACACCTGGGTGAAGATCTGGAAGACTATCCAGAGGAAAAGGTGGGGGAAGATAACCTTGACCATTTTTAAATTAGGTTTTCGAATATCA